GTTTTGATTTGCCTTTCCCCCTACGCTGCCACAGGACATTTGTGCCAGCAGCTTTTTTAATCAGAAAAGTCACTAACATTCCTCTGAAAGACAGACAATAACCTCAGCAGAAGTTAATCAGCTAAATTCAACCTCTCAAATCCAAAGATTCTCATGACCAACACTTAAAAGACTTCATCGTGTCTTCTGGGGATGAAGTGACAGCCTTAACTAAAAACACAAGGTGATGTGTATATCAGAAATTTAAGCACATTTAAAATACACTTAAAATGCTATTACAGCATCATTACAATAGTAATCTTCATTCCAAATAAAGATCTGACTGACAACAGTTTGCCAAACAACATGGTATCATTTGTCATGTCTTTATTAGACCAACCAATATAGCTGGAAAACCAGGCATTTATTTCTACAGGAAGGCATAAGGGACACCAAGGGGCACCCAAGAAAGTAATTGTCTTTTCCAAATATGACCTGGTCTGAAATAACCCTTCTGTACAGTATACACTATGTGGAAAAGGATAACAGTGTTATCTAAGCTTCTGATACGATTCACTCATTTCATTGAAATGCTTACTGCTGAATGTAACAGACAAAGCCCTTTGATGTTACCTGTACAAAAACAACAATTGAAATCTAAGTTATGACAGATCACCTTTAGTAAAAAAGCAGCTTATTTCTTAATACAAGTTACCTCGACAGAAAACAAACATGAGAACTTCTAGGGACAAATTTATAACATATGATTCAGCACCCCAAATAAACCACTATAAAGAACAAATCAGATGCACACACTTCCAAAGTCCATGAGAGGGGTCATTCTCAATTGCACATTTGTGTTATTTTCGTTATTCAAATGCTTAAAAGTTCTATACACAATTTTGCATACCAACTGATAAATAATACATGAGAAACTGAACAATAACTACAAGAAACTTACCACTCAAATTATGGTAGACTATATTTGCATACTGGGGTAAGATAAAGGGTAGTACTTTTCATGATCCCGTACCGAGCAACCAAAAGGAAATCCTTGCTAGCACAATCTGAATGGGACACTGCTAACAAGGCATTAGATGCATTCCTGACCCAAAGTACTCCAAATCGGACATCAGTTAAACATATTATCCTTTACTATACCAAAGTGAATACTCTGCTATTGATTTGCAGTGAAGTAATCAATACATGCAGAAACAAATGATCGCTGCATAAACATCTTAGACTGGTATCACCCTCCCCTGTAGTTCTGGTTCAATTCAACGTCATCATATTTAATTTCTCTAACAATATTTTACTAAACACCACTGTAGTGAGTGAAGTTTTAAAAATACAGGCAAATAAGCATACTAGCTAGTATATCAAATAAACTATAGATATTTTTAGAAATGTGAATTTATATTCACCCAATGTTAAAAGCAAGTGATTTAAATTAATGTCCTATTTTTCATCTCTTAGAATATCTCTAATTACATATCTACTACATCGTTTACAGGTATTTATCTGAAAAGGTTGAGGAAAATAACATCTTTACTGATGGTTCCATCTTCCTGAGCTTCTTCATCACACAGCTTGTGAATCAAGACTATTTTACCTGAAAAATTACTTCATGAGTAGGAAAGTAACATGCAAAAGCTTTCATGGTTCTGCCATGCTGAACACCGCATATACACAGGAGATACTCTACTTACTCTAAGCACCTGCCACACCTTTTTCTTATATTTATCATTCCCATGTTCTGTGTAACAAACCAGAATTTAAGCGCACTTTTAATCTTTACCTACAGCATAACTTTAAAATTTTAATATTTCCTTATTTAATAACTAGCTTAAGCTGTGTAGACTGTTGTCTTCTTCATACCTGCTGCTGTAATGCTGCTTTGAACAGCAAACTTGAGTCTTAGGGTTGGGACACTACATATAAACATGTTACAGAGTATTCACACATCTCCAGACCTGTATAGCAGCCCTCAGTGACGATTTCACAGCTAACCCTCAAGACCACAGCGACAGGCACATGGGAATGCAGGCTGAGCTCAGAGAGCAGCGCATTGGAGAAAGGGCCTTTTCCAAAGCAAAGACTGCCCTTTCCTGTTTTCCAGTGTGTAACAACATGATCTTTTCTTGTTACACCTCAATGATAAATAACCTATACTGTTTATATTTTGTATGGTATGGTTTTTGAAAAATCCCCACCACACATATGCAAGCATCCATGCACACACAGCCACTTGAAAATTTTCTGCCAAGATCCACGCAGACAAAAACATTTGAGTAACCATTGCCGAGCGTTAAGGATCTGAGGGCCTTTCCTGCCGGAGTTCTACTGTATTGCTCTTGCACCTTCAGAGCAGGGCTGTGGTCCAGCGGAGAGTCTGGATGGGGCTGATGTGTTTCGCAGTACACACCTGGAGCCTTCTCCTCCAATGCAGCCAGGGCTGGGCCCAGGGGTCACTCTGGCCCTGACGACAGCAGGATCCACCTCCACTCCCCAGATGTCATACATAAGCAATTCTAAAATCTTTTTCCTCCTCTCTTATTAATGATATGCAATGGTGGAGTAACCCAACGGAGATTTACCTGTTGCTTATACAACAGAGGTTCCTCATACAAAGTTGTTATGACACATAAAAAGCTTCCATACATGCATGCAGGTACTTCACTTACACTTAAATGCACAACAGAGTTCTTGTGCATCCACGCCCTTGCACTGTAGCTCTCAGCAGGGATTTCACTGGTTGATGCCATCCTCAGAGACAGTCATGTACGAACGCAGGGTGAGGTCTGGGTAGAGGCGCACAGGAGGAAGCTGTAAAGTCCTTTACAAAGTAATGGCAGTTTCTCCTGTTTTCCAACATGCGGCAACTAAATATTCTTGTTCCCTTAGTATTATCTGGATAACAAACAATCTATACTGTCCTTTTCTTATAAAATATTGTTATCTTAGTCCTCCATGGTGTTAAAGCATATACACAATCACACTACCAAATTTTCTGTTGAGATCTCCACCAGCTAAAAAGCATTAGAGCCACCCCAGCTTGTAAATTACACATTCGTCAAGTGCCTCTTAACTGCAGTGTGTTGATGTCATGAGGTAAATATTTAACTACTGTCATCATTCCTCTAAACAGTTCTCCTTATTGCACACATCAGAAGTTTCTGTTTTTCTCCAGGGAGTATCTGTTAACTTCCACCAGTGTTATCCAATACCCTTATTCGACTCTTCCCTGCTTCTGTACATACAAGTCACTCCACCACTTCTTTCAGTAACACAACCCAAAGTCAGTACAACAGGAGTTATGCTAGCACAGACACAAGTCAGCCTCAGTGCCTGGATTTCCTAGTAGCAAAATCATTCCACCCGCTTGTCCCAGTGGTTTCTGTGGTGCACAATTTTTAACCCAACCCATCCCAAAATTCTTCACATATTTAACATTACCATACATTCACAACCTTACCTTTTAAAAGGCTTTCCAAGCACCATTTCTTGTTCTTGCCAAACACCACACTTGGTATAGGAAAATGCTCTTCAAGCAAATGTTAAGTACCCAACTGCTTCTCTCCTCCCCTTCGGGGAAGCCAAAGCAGCCACAGATGGATGAGCTTGAACCTGGCCTCCACGCCAGGCTGCTCCTCCGCTCGGGGACGGGGCGAAGGGGGGCCCCCACAGCAGGCATGTGCTCGTGGAGAGCAACCTCTCCCACCTCGGGGAACCACGCCTGCTGCGCTCTGGCCCTTCAGGAATGCGTTAAGGTTTGCTTTGCTGATTAAAAAAACAAACAAACCACACCAAAGTTATTTTCACACGTGCAAAAACTGACGCCGGTCCGTTCCCCCCTGCGGTTAGCTGCCTGGATAGAAAACCCGGTGGAGACAAAACCCCGCAGCCTGCCGCTAGCTCAGTGAGCACCGGTGGGTGAGCGGCTGGGCGGTGCGAGGGGCGGCGC